CAACTTTCCAACAAGATAATGCCCGACCACATGTTGCAAGAGTCACAATAGACTTCTTTCAACATAATGATGTCACATTGTTACCATGGCCACCAAGATCTCCCGACTTATCCCCAATTGAGCACGTGTGGGATATGATGGGTACGAAATAGCTCAATTTGCAACGTCCTCCTCAGACTCTAGAAGCACTTCGAGAGGAGTTGGTGGTTGCCTGGAATGAGATACCACAGGAGGACATTGACCACCTGATCAGAAGCATGCCTAGGCGCGTTGGAGAATGCGTAGCACATCAGGGTGCATCCATACATTATTCAAGGTCAAAGGGCTTTAAAGCAGTGCAATCATTTTGAAATTTTTATCATTTACTTATTATGCTTCATTAAGTACTTATACAAAATTTTATTACAATAAAACCATTTAAACTGGGTGTTCGGATTTATATGTCACTTAGTATATTTTGAACAGTTCTTGTAGATTAAAGCTTCAAATGTGACTTTACAATAATTAAGCTTATTTTCGATATATTTCCAAATACGTTTAACACCTGAGAGGAACTTAAATAAACAATCGAGCTGAGTCGAAGAATTCCTCCGCTTAAGGTGGATTTTCCAACCTAAAAGGTGCCTTGATTTAGACAACTGAACAGTCGAGAACCTTAAATATATGAACGAAGTTCTTTGTGGATATCAGGACATTTTTTAATAGAATTTCCCTTCACCGGTAGGGTTATTGCGTAAAAAACCTATATAAAAAAAATGATAAAATGTGAACTTGCTATCTAAGTAGGCTAGTGTGCAAATTCCGCGCTTGCTACAATTGAGCATAAAGTGAACGACAGCTAGTTGACGTCTTGTTGGAAAACCTACACAATGTCATAAAAACCTACATAATGTCACTTCTCAAGTTACGTAATACCCCTACCGAGCAACACCCCTTTTCATATTGAGGTTAACCGATTATGCTGAAATTTCCTTATAATTGATTGACCACTGTCCTCAAGTACATTAATTAACAGAGGGATTGCTTATTAAAATAAATGTTAACAAATGTGACATATTTTGATATACAGCCATGTCAACCAAGAGCCAGTAGTTACAGACGAAATTCCTCTAAAAGTTTACCTCAGATGCACTGTTGTCAGATGTAATTTCTTGTCAGATAAGTTTTTAGCAAATCGGGGTAGTGGAAACGAAACTAATTTGAGTCTTGAACCTTATCATATACGGCTAAGCGATAGAGAGGCGGTGTAACCGGGCATTAGGCTCAGTATTTGAAAGTAGTCCCGTGTCGGTTTTTAAACTAAAGTGTCTCAAGGAACTACAATCTAAATCGGCAACACCCAATTGCGAAAAAGAAAAGTTCACAGCTACCAACAACAAATTGCGCTCATTAGAAATAATTAATCCTCTCTACATGAGGCTCCCCGTTGAAAAATTCTTCACAGTCACCGCGTAAACAAAAAGAACGGTGCATCATTTGTTACGTCTATGGTTGATTGTGTTTTTTAGAAAGAACTGTTACCGAGATCCGTAAATAGCTGAATACCGCACCAACACCGGCGCAGACTGAATGTTACTTTTTCCCGAGTAATTATGAAGCTTGTTTTTTAATTTTCAGATGCAAAGCGCTGCTCATTATTCAATAAATTTAATTATCAGGTTTGATAATTGTGTGGTTATGTGCAAATTAAAGAGAAACAATTTTTTTGATTTAGTATGTGTAAAAAAACAGTAAAGATACAAAGCAGCAATTTCTGTTTAGCTTTTCCATAAAATATCCAAAATAATTTTTTCTTTTTTCACCGATGTAGGCCCGCTTCCAGACATTCTTTAGCTTTAGACACAGATTTCTTTTCCACTGGTTTTCCTTCATATGATAACTCGGGATCGTCAAGTTTGGTGATGTTATCTTCAACGGCAACATCTCCTGGTTTACGGCAAAATAGCAGGATTAAACATTGTTGGGACATTCCGATCGACTGACGAATTCTTTCACCAACTCTTACAGCAATATCGAAGCTGTATATATTATTTTAATTTACGATTAGTGTCTTCGAAATGCTACCAAGGCTTCGCGAGCATGCCGATCGTTTTTAAAGATTTACGTCTGTCACTGTGAACCATATTTACAAGTGACAAAGCTGTACCTGAAATTTCTATGTGCTGAACGGTAAGTACTTTTTTGCTGTTTCACAACACATTAGCTTTGTTATTACAAACTATTCAAGGCACCTTGTATATTTAAGTTTTTCGGTATGTGGAAAGGGTACCGAAATGTCTAAAGCAATTCTTTCAAATGGACTTGTATACATTTTCAGAAAGTATCACGAGTAGACACCGAATGAAAATAACTAAAAGCTACTTTCCTTATAAAAAAGCAGACCACCGTGGGAAATCGAAAATGCAAAACTGCCTAGTGCTTGGAGAGTACGGCAAGGTAACAGTAATACATTAGTCCTTGAACGAATTGGATATATACATATGTATTTCATAATATGCTTTTACTTTTTATTAACCATGTTAACATATATAACTACTCCAAAAGAACTGTGTAAATTGAATTTAAGCCGCTAAACGCTTACTTCACAATAGCTACTACTAATATTCGTTTATTTTTGATGTATCGATTTTCACTCACCAATCATTATAGACAAGTTAAATTAAAATAGTAACGATGTAAAGGTAAAAAATTTTACGTCGATTTTAAAACAAAAATCATTTCGAATCATTTATTAGACGGATAAAAAAAATAACTTTATATCATCATAGACAACCAGTTAATGTATCCCCTGAAACACCAGTATTCTCAAATATGAAGAGTGAACAGTTAAAAAGTTTAACTATAAACTATTAAAACAAAACAACATAATTATCAGACAGGGACATTACTTGCCTCAGACGCTGGCTGTAATATCCTCCAACCTCACCAATCCAACTTCAAATTAACTTTTGCGAAAATAAAGCATTAGAATAAGTAGTAATCTTATATTAATTCTAGCAGTACGCTTCCTAATAGATAGGTATGTTGGATACTTCAGACAGGTGAGCAAAACTGAAGTTAAGAATTGCCAGTTTGAAACTGATAATATAGCGAAAATATTCAAGAAACCTAGTCTGAAAATACACAAGATTATCTGTAATAACAGGGAAGTTAAAGCTAACATGAGCATCTACAACTCAACAAGGAATATTAAGTGTTGTGTTTACTAACATGAGTGAGTATAAAATCAATTTAACTGGAGACTTCAATACAAGAACCGTTCAAGTCACCTTTTTAACGCAACTGAGATGACGCTTAGTTTGAAATTTATCTTAGCTATGAATAGTTATTTGTCTGTGCTTACAATAATGCTACAGTTAATGCAGGGTCCGTATGGTATAGATGTTACGAAAAATATGAATTTCCAAGTGACAATTCTCTCAAGATATCAAAATAAATTCTGTAATTAAATAATCAGCTGGGCGCCAATTTGCATAACGTTATAAATCACACATGCGTGATTGTTTCAACTATATAAAAACAAAAGTTATCCGTAATGCTTGTAACTTGTCCCCCAGCAGATTAGCTTTTACTTCCCTAGGTGTGAAATTACACGAGTTAGTTTAAAATTTCGTAACCTCAATACCCTACAAACCCTGCTCTATGTAGTATTTAGTCAAACTAACTTCACCCGTCTTTATTGGAGACTTCAATTATGCAAAAAGGTCAGACTTCATCAGAAGAAATTAATCGTTATATAGCCGATGTTTGCCTGTCATAATGTGTAAATATGACGAATACGTTCAACAATAGTACGTAATCGAAGAAACATGTTAAAATATATATGTATCAACATCTTTCTAAATAAAGAACTTCAAAGAACCCTGGTAGAACGGTGTAGCGTTTTATCAGTAAGCCTACTATGTTTGGGGTAAAGTACACGGAATGCGGTATGGGATATGTTTCCAATATAACAAGTTGCAGAAAAATGTGCCGGGTGTAAGTTTCGCAGCTTGTTCAGATGGTAACGCACTAACTAACTTGGACGCGGACATGTGCCACAACATAGCAGACTATCGTCTGGCACATTTACTTCGACATCCGCAACATTTTGTTCGTATAAAAGTGTCATATAAATGTTTCAAACTAAAATGTTGCGGCATATGTTGCGCGCCACTGTCGCCTGGAGCATTCTTGTCCCCGGCGCTTGTTCCGCAGCATAAATGAATTTCTGTCACAGCATATATTGGATAAATTAGGTTTTATTTTGTACGACATCATAGGTTTACGAGGGATGTCTTTTAAGTTTTGCATATAGAAACATAGTAGGCCGCGCGGATCGAACGTCAGTACTGAATCTTAACCTCACTCTTTAGTAAACTTAAATCGAAAGTTTCACAACAATACGTGCAGTGTTCTCACTACACTGAATTTTTAAGTATCACCAAGTCATAAGAAAAATGGAACTCGCGCCATAATTTATTGCAACTTTCAGAGACAATTATCGCAACAAGAATGCCTTGCTGAGTACCTGTCTGTTTTCGGCAACGAAGCGCCACATCAGTCGACAATTTCCCGTTGGTGTGGAGAATTCAAACGTGGACGGGTGAGTCTTAGCGACGATCCCAGGGTGGGTGCACCAAAAACGGCGGTCACCCAGGAAAACGTCGATGCTGTGCATAAACTCATCATTGAAGATATACATGTGACATATCGCGAGATTGAGGCGTCCTTGAAGATCTCAAAGACCTCAATTCAAAAAATGTTACATGAAGAATTAGGAGTAAGAACATTAATTTCTCGTTGGATACCCCACCTGTTGACTGAAGAGCAGAAAGCAGCCAGGGTTAATTGGTCTGAAAAAACGCTTGACCGTTTCAATTCCGGAAACTCAAAAAATGTGTACAGCATTGTTAGTGGTGATGAATCGTGGATTTACTCTTATGACCCAGAAAATAAACGACAGTCGGCTGTTTGGGTGTTCCAAGGTGAAGAAAAGCCAACAAAAGTCATCCGTTCTCGAAGTGTTTCAAAAAAGATGGTCGCGACATTTGTGTCAAAAGCGGGTCATATTGCATCAATTCCTCTTAATGAGCAAAGAACTGTTACTGCGGATTGGTATACCACCATTTGTTTGCCAAAAGTCATCACCGAGCTTCGAAAAATCAACCCCGAAAGAAGAATCATCCTCCACTAAGACAATGCAACCTCGCGCACAGCCCAAAAAACAAGGCAGTATTTAACGGAAGAAAACGTGGAATTATTGGACCATCCTCCATATAGTCCCGATCTAAGTCCTAACGATTTCTTTACTTTCCCGAAAATTAAAAACAGACTGCGTGGCCAAAGGTTCCAGTCACCAGAAGAAGCAGTTGACGCATTCAAAAATGCCGTTTTGGATCTGCCAGCAAACGAGTGAAATAAGTGCTTCAAAAATTGGTTCGAGCGCATGCAGATGTGTATTAATCTTCGTGGAGAATACTTCGAAAAACAATAAAGTCATTTAAAACTACCTATCGTGTTGTACGTACGTATTATTTCCATATGCAAAACTTAAAACACATCCCTCGTATGTATCATGACTCTAGAACGTGCACCTAAAATAATGATGCCAAAATAGATTGTTTTTTAATGAAAAATGCAATTTTTCAATCAAATAAAAGAAAAAACATGTTTTTTGTGCTTTTTACAATAAATTAAAAAATATTAATGAGCGTTTATGGTGGTCACAAGAGCGAAGGTGCAGATTCCAGATTACAGAAAAGGGGTTGGTTTGCTAGCCTTAATGCCAATATGACCCATATGGGTTTATTGTGAGCCCCATAAACAATGTCTATAGCACTGTGTCCAGCCGTGATCCTTTAATCAGACTCATAGCCTTGACCCAGGGTTTTGCTTGTACGTATATTTTCGCTGTTGGAGTTATGATTCATAATATATGGAACCAAAGCCTTGCTAGGCTTCCGCAGTAGGTCCACTGTAAATGCAGGCTTTCTTTAAGCATTGTTGCTTTGTTTCGGTTTCCTAGCTCTTTGAGAGCTCGCAGTCCTACACTACTTTCGACGATATTTGCGATGAACTTAATGTCTTAATATCTGCCTGGCGATCCACTGATTTACAGTATCCTTCTTTATTTGCATTTGTATAGCTGATACCTCAGCCTCAAATATTGTTGCTACGTTACCTAGAATTACAGGGATCTCGGTGTTCGACCTTGTGCCAAACATCTCGGCTCTAACTCCGTCTTCAGTTTAGTGCCGTCCGTATACCAGTAGTTTATGGCATGTATTGGAGGTCATTTTTCTCGCGCCTTGTTAGCGAAGTTATTGTTACGTGTCATTAACAATCCCTACCCAGAGATACGGATAAGTAAAAAATTAACTAGAATTGTAGTAAATTCTGTAACTACATTCTACAAGTGTGGCGCACAAGTCGTCTTGTGCTACGAATTAATTACAAGCGTACATCAAATTTTTAGGGTTGCACAGTGTGTAGAATCTGTGTTACAGGACCCGGAATCGGTAACTGCCACAAGTAGATTTTGCAGTGAGCAAGTAAGAGCAAGATCCCTCCGGCTGGACCGATTAACTTACCGAGACTGTTAGCCGCTAAAATAGAGTTGAATTTTTTAAGGGAAGTTGCAGTACCGATTAGAAAGCCGAACACGGATCTTTTCTTCGACTAGTGACCAAACTATTCGTAGTCCATACACTTTGTTTTGGAATAACACCGTACGTACGTAGCATTTACATTGTTTCATTTGCTTTCCTTGAAACGCATAATCGATGGCGATAAATAAGTAATTGCCTTTTACGGTACTCATTTATTATCAGATAAACAGATTAAAACATCGCTGGTTTATTCACGAACTCGACTCTTAGTCGTTTATTAACTCACACCAAACTGATTCATTGAGAGTTTTGGGATAATATTAACTCTGATTTTATCCAGAAACCGGTGAAGATGTGGAAACAGCAGCTGTAACCATCTGAAGATATAATTCACTGACATTAGAGGTGACCCTTATAACTATAGAGTATTCCAAGGCGTTTGTCAGTATTAATCAGAAATTGTTATAAGAAAAACTCAATAGGTCTTGATGAATTGTCTATTAATTTTTTTAAAAGTTATTTCCAACACAGGACACAACGTGCATCAGTAAACAAATAAATATCAACAATATCATTCGTACCTTCAGGTGTGCCACAAGGCTCTATATTGGGACCATTATTATTTTTAATATATACTTTTGCCAAAAAATCTCTCATTCAGACTTATGCACAATTCAAAAATTAATCCAGAAAAATCAAAAATCCTTCTAATTTGCAGTGAAAAAAAAAAAGAAAAACTTTGTGCTTCCACGCTTGAAAATTTCTATGAACAATCAAATATTAGATTTCACAGATTCCGCAAAAATTATATCGGTGTAATTTTTGATTCCATATGAGATTGACTGAACATGTTAAGGGTCCCCGTCTAAAAACTTATCTTCGGTCTTTGATAGCAAATCACTACTTGCCTAATTTCAAAATGCCCAAAAAACGAGTCTTTAATTGTATTATATTAAATTATTGTAATATTGAGTATTTTCCTCCTTTAGATTATTTCACTAAAAATATTGTTCAAGTAATATAAAACAATTGTGTACGATTCATTTTTAGATTACGCAAATTTGATCACGTTCCAGATAAATATCGCATACTAAAATTCACTCATGTATGTTGCGGACTGATTGGTTAAATGTAAGAGCAGCACATGCTGAAATTCGCCAATTAGTCCGTTGTAATAATGTTAATAAAGATGACTATTATTATTATTATTTTCTAGTTTCACTTAGACGAAACGTCGTAAATATCCCGATTACTCAATGTGGTTTCTCAGGTAAGCAATCAACTATTCGAACAAATATGACGGGCTTTTATAATATGGTTATTAAAGAAGATATATCACGTATTGAGAAAGGATGATAAGCTATGATTACAGCACTTAAACCCCATAGGGCCGTTTGATACGTCCTTCCTATGAGCTCTTCCTCACCAGTACGCCAGCATTCGTAACCAAACTACCATATGGTAGCTAAAATTTTGGCGACTGCTGCCGTTAGCGTGCTGCCATATATTCCAATAGGTTAGTTTGACTATGCATGCTTTTAATGTCGCCGTGGCGCACAGTGGTCTAGAACACCGAAAAAGCTGGCCAATATTACAATTTCTATGACATTTAAATGATTTTCAGTACAATAGGGTTTTTTTATTTTAAATATGGGGTTAGTTTGTATTTATGATGGCATTTGATGTCCTGTTGGAAGTCATATCAAGGACATTTTCGAAAGAAGCCGAGCCGTTGATCTCAATCGCATGTCATTTTGCTTTCTATTCACCAAGTCCAAATCAGAGATCAGTTTGTCTTTGGTCAAGCATTTGAAGGGAATTTTAAGACCACTCAAAGGACAAATTCGAAAAGGTACAATAACCGTTTCCGACCACCTGCTATAATATGGCAGTATATAAGGTTGGGTTATTTTTTTAAACGAGCCTAGATATGAAGAAAGTACAAGATACCAAAAAGTTTTATTTTCAATTGTTCAATTTAAAACAATATAAAAACTACATAAAAATATTGACGTGTTCTTTTTTCCTCAATAAAATGGCTGTGGTGACCACGCCACTGGTCTAAATAATTTCAAAAAAATTAACGCTAAATAAGCGCCGTATTAATTTAAATAGTTACATTAAATTTCAAACAATTCGATTTAAAGATATTTATAATCTTTAGTATTTCAACTTCAACGTACTGTATCTCGGAAATCAAGCAACATCACCCTCCGGAGTTTCGTACCGTAGTACCCTGTATAAGCACTGTTGTTGGGAATATTAAAAAATATCCTCCATGCATAAAGAATTATTTCTAAACACCCATTACGTGTGAATATGGCACTACAAGCCATAGACCGTCATTAAATTCTAAACAAATATTCGACAGAACGACGCACGCTTAGACTCTTAAATTAGCTGAAACGATTAGAATGGGACCACATATGATCTTATACTTAGCCCCCAATTAGCATACGAAAATATCCGAATGACTCATAAGAACGGGGCCAACATATCAATTACGTTACATAATTAAGACATGTAACGACCTGTAATGATAATTATTCCTCTGCGGTACTGCGGTACGTCCTATGAATCCGTCGGTCGTTATTCTTTCAGACTATGATGCCGTATGTTTTGTTATCCCTGTCTTTTTCTCTTCTTCTTCTTCGACCATTGTCATCTGGTTTTCCCTAGGTATTCAACTGTCTCGCGCTTGACAGGAAACCGAGTCCTTTTCCATCTCATTTGTTACATTGAATGAACCCAAAAGGTATTACATACAGGATAGCTCAAGTAAGTGTAAGTGGAAGCAAGATTTCGTTTGCAACACTCACTTTCAGCATAACTATAACCAATGCCTTTGTGTCAATTCCAATCTAAGGCGTTAGTCTCAGCTGATTGACAAACAGCTGCTGAGCCGAAGTCAGGAGGGTCTGTCTGGCAAGCACATCGCGCGGCGTCATCATGGACGAGAGCCTGTTGACGTAGCGGCAGAAAAGATCTAGATCGATGACGACTCGTCCGTGCGAAAGGGTTCCGAGACTGACCGTTAGAGAAGAATCCATCGATCACTTGGGCAGAGCCCTCTTCTCAACAGCATCGAGCATAGATAATGTAATCGACGGCTCTTTGGTAGGACTCCGCGGACGAGCGCTAGGACGCCTTGTTAGTCAAGATGCTGTACTCGTTTGTGGAAGCATTAAACTGTACCCAAGCAGTGATAGCCTCCAGGTCTCTCTTCAAAGAGGTAGTCGCTGCTGGTCTTCTTTTGTCCACCTCACCGGCTTTAATTCCTGCATGTAGAATTCTGTCATCAGCAAAGCTATGGACCGGATTGATCGTATAGGAAAGGAGGTCGTTGATATGTAAGAGGAACAATTTCGTAGCCAAGATCGATCCCTGGGGAACACTCGCGTTGACATGATGAGATGAAGAGGAGAACCGTCATTACGACGGATATCTCAAGGCCAGAGCAGAGTCACGCATCAGAGGGCATCATGCCATAGCTGATCCAACGTTTTCGTGACATCAAGAGCAACGATCCTTATCATAAGACTGGATGCGTTTACTCCACTGTTGCATGATGTAAGCTAGGAGGTACCCGCTTGGTATCGGAATCATATTGTCGCTAATCAAGCCGTGCCGTTCGAGGTACTCCAGAAGTTTCCGACTATTGCACCTCTCCATCTCCTTACTTTTAACATCAAGTAAAACTATAGGCTATGTAGGGGTCAGTCTTAGATCCTTTTTTGGGATGAGCAGAACATGAGCAAATTTCCAATTTTCTGGGAAAATGCCGGATTCGCAAAATATCTGGAAGAGACGCAAAAGAACTAGAGGCTAGGTCTAAATGCTCTGATCAAGACTGATTACCGTAT